CAGGATCGGCGGGGAGGTCAAAGTTGTGAAATGGTAATATGCGACTGCAAGTAGGCCGAAGCGTACCTTGTAAAATAAGGGGCCGAGTTGTACGGATGAAGAGAAGTGCGGCGAGAAAGAAGTAACTAAATATCAATTCAGGCTCTTCTAAAGGATTTGTTCCCAGATTTGTAAACGCAGCGCAAATCTGAGGACTGGGTTTTACCAGAAATTTCTCAGTAAAAGTTGCAAGTTCATAAAAATTACGCAAAATTGCTAACCTGTACTTCCAGTGGATTAACACAATACAGAGGTTCAACGGTTGCTCCCGAAACTGATTCACTTAAAATTTCCACCGTATCTTTGACCGATTTGTTGTAGGTGATCGATGCGAAACGTTTTGATGCTGATACCGAAGAAATCGCTTCGGCTGTCCTCTTCAACGGTCCGGAGAGATAAAAGCATTCTTTTGGATTTGATAAATTGTACGATCGTAGCGCACCCAAACTATCACCCGTGAAAATGCGACCCGTTGATGGGCATGTAGCGAGGGCTGTCGTGACATGCCTATCATCCTGAAATAATGTTAAGAGTCAAGGAAAATTATAAACAGAAAAATTATACTCATATAAAAGGCACCCTGATACCCTATTTAAGGTTCAAAGAAAAATGTGTATGTGCTGTTGGAAAATATAAGAAAGGATGATAGAAAAGGAAGGATGTGAAAAAGAAGTATTAAATTGGGTAAGAAATGTTTCGGTCCATTAAGTTGTATACATTTCTTACCGTTACCACAGATGGATTTTGTCAGTACGACAGCTGTAGTACTAAGCTGTAATTCACAGCATCGTTCTCCAGCTATTTTAAATCATCTTACATCCTAAGGGGCCACTGTACCCAAAAGCTGGGTGAATAAAAATATAAAAATATTTATTTATTAAAAAAAGAGATCCTCGGTCTCTTCCCCTGCTATTTATAAACAAATTAAAATATCTTATTTGATGCCTTCAGTAGACGTCTCATTATTTTAAAATTCAGCATATAGGGAGTCACAAATTACTCAGCCGACTGTTAGAGACAAATTCCAAATAAAATCGTAAAAAATAAAATCCACCAATACTCTGCCAACAGAGCCATTTAAGAAATGTTGTATCTATCCGAGTATAGCTTGTGAATAAGGATTTAATTACAGCACCAAAAAAATACAACAAATAATCGTAAAAGGAAACAACGACGCAAGTACAACGCACGCAGCAGCTGAGCAGCAATCGATAGGGTAGAAGCAGTCGGGTGGCGCACACGGCAGCCGGAGAGCAATCGATAAGGCAAAAGCAGCTGGGCATTGTGCACTTGGGAAAGCGTACTGGCTGTCCCTCAACCTTGCTCACAACCTCTACTGAATACCACACACACCACAACAGGGCAAAACATAAAGATCACTGTCTTACATCCCGCTAGTGCGGAGTTCATATATATCACAAGAACTAAAAACTGAAAATTTGACCGCAAAATAAAGGCACAATTTAGACAGGCATACTTTAGAATAGTCAAGAGGTTGCCGGCCGTTATAAAATGGCCAAATAACATGCGTCCGCTGTGCGGTTTCCAGATTCCACCGAGAAAGCTCAAATGCTGATGATGAAGCAGTCCAGATATCGGTCAGTGACCTTGGCTCGTTCAATGGATAGGCTGGCCAACAGCGCAACATACGGCAAGAATCACACGGATGAGGCCAACTATTCACCTCGATGCCAAACCTGAAATTGATTTTACTTTTATCCAAAAAAAAAAATCAGCATTCTTGCGCTGGGATAAAGGCACATGCCCAATTTAAACACCAACAAAATCTGGTTTTATGCCTACGGTAAGTTTTAAAATTGAGAATTACGAAAAGCAAAAAAAGCGATACCTTAAATCCCAGAGTATAATATATCTGTTGGTTGAGGTAAAACACATCCAATTTTGTTTAAATGTATCAATACAAAACGATGTGATTAAGCCATATTCGTTTTTGATACGATACTGCCACAGTGGTTTTGGCTTACGTTTTTCTGGCAATCTGAAAGATACAAACTGATAAAAAACTCAAAACTTTTCAAAAAAAAAAACATCTGAGGAGCATTTATGAGAATATCAGTTCCGTTCGGGATCGAATGTTGGTGATGTTAATGGGATGAATATTATAAAAATAACATAAAAAGTTTGTAAAAATAAAAAATAAAAAGTAAGAAAGAATGGAATAAAGAGAAAAGAAGAGAAAAAAAGGTAAAAAATGAAGATTAAAAGATTTGTGAGATTATTAAAATGAAAAGAAATATTTCGGTTTATTAAATCCTATACATTTCTTACCACTACCACAATTGGACCTCGTATTATAAAAACTCAAAGAAAGCACTAGGAAGGAAAATGCTCTGTCAAGAGTAGCCATCCAGGCAAGATTATCCACGATTTTCCTTCCGCTTAAGCAGGCAAGATGAAGCAGCAAAATTGCTTGACTTATGTATGCATTCAGGGCAAAGGTTTGAATCCAAAAATGTATTTTACGTCGAAAAAAAACAAGGAAGTTCTGAATTTAAATTTTATTTAAAAAATGATTAAAAGAATTCCACAGTGATTTTCCTCAAATTTCTTTGAAGAACTTCAAATTGCATTTCCTCAAAAGTTCAAATTTCAAAAATTTCTTCACCAATTCGTTAAATCATTTTCACATAAATTGGCACTCGCATATGCCAGAAAGTCAAACCCGCCATCAGCTTGTTTCTAAGCAATTGTCAAAAGAGGAAGCCATTAAAAGTTTTGCCAACGAGTGGTTGCTGTTGGCGTTTAATACCAGTCGCATATTTAAAAGAATGTCTGTGCTTCACACAGAAAATAAATACGGAAGAGATTCTGATTTTTCATAAGGCATATTTTAACTTTTTTCAAATATTTGACTTTCGTACAATTTCAAAAGCCACACCTACCTACAATCGACACAGTAAATATTGCTATGATGAGTGAGGACATAGAGAAGGTTATCCACAGCAATTATATCCACTGGGCTGCCCTCTTCATCCTTGTTGAATGCGATTGTCACCAACGATTGATTACGTTGAGCATCCACAATGCTAACACCACAGTCCTCACTAGCAACAGCAAGATGTGAACCCGTTTCACCCAGAAATTGCACTGAATTGATCTGTTGGCCTAAAAAATTTGATAATTTCACTGATTTTGACCCAAATGTGCCATCAGTTTTAGCTTAAAACTCACAGATACATAATAAGCAGCGCATACTGAAGATTTTTGGTCTTCCTTCTCCTCCCCCTCCTCTCCGAGATCCGAAGGAAATCCAATTTATCAAGATCCAGATCAAGGCTTATTGGCTTCATCTTAATATTTTAGACAGCTATGCAGCCCAGGATCAGAAGGCCCGACAAAAACAGTTACTGGATAATTCATGTCCAGAAAACTTCTTAGAGGGACAAGCGGTAGCGGTACTTAGCCGCATGAAGTTGAGCAAAAACAGGTCTGTGATACCCTCCGACGCCCAAGGTTGCATACGCGCTTTGCGCCCAGAGTATGAAAACACCTCAAAAAACGACACGGACATGGGACATCCACACCGATTGCTCGTACGGTATCAGTAGTTTAAAAAAAAACCGATGTTTCAACGTTGTAATCCTTTCCGCCACAGATACATCAAAAACTCCGCTCTTAATTCTACTTTTTTTCTAAGCTTGCCAATTCCATGTAGACGTTTTAACGGATTCTGTTATTTTACTGGTTTTTCCATGTATCCATTTGATATTTTATGAGAAATGACTAACTTGAAAATAAAATTGTTGCATCTGCTCGAATAGCTGTGTTGAATTCACCCTGTATTCGATTCAGTGACCACAGTTTCACAGCACCATCATTTCCCGCACTTGCAAAATGCGAACCGTTCGCATTCTGAGCCAATCTTGAAGAATTACTTCATTATTGAGGGGGGAAATACAAAAAAGAGGGCCGAAATGAAAAATTACTATATTATTGGAAAAAAACAGAAAAAGAAGACCGGAAACGACCGAAATCCCTCCCCCCTTCCAACAAAAAAGATAAAAAAAAACTCAATAAAAAAACTCATTTATTTGAGTCACGAAAAATCTGTGGTACTTGC